TCCTCCTCATGTTTAGGTGGAACTTCTAATGTTCAAGTTTGCGCCCATTTCTTTTTGTCCTGTCACTGGACACTGTTGAAAAAAAGACTGGCCCCCTCCTCTTGACACCCTCCCTTTAAGTATTTGTAGGTGTTGATCAGATCCCCCCTCAACCTTCTCTTCTCCAGACTAAAAAGATCCAAGTCATTTGGGTAACTGTCCAGAGAAGGATGTAGCCTTTATGAATTTGTTTGAATCCATTTTCAACTTATTAATTCTTTGACACTTGACAATATTCTGCAACAGTCCTTTTCCAGTATTTAAATGAGTATTATGTGCAAACCTGTTTTGATTTCTTTTGAACATAGTCACCAATTGGCCACGGTCTGTGGTGGCAGTAGGAATGCTTTCACAAAAGGATCTCAGCTTTGCTCCCAGCCACCTGTGAGTCTTTGCAGAGAAAAAATGATCATATCTATTGATGTTAAACTAACACATTAAGACTCCAGGATTTTCCAATCTGTCTGGAGCAAAAGGAAATGGCCAACAAGAATGTACATTTAAATCTGGCTCTGGGGCCAGAGGGGGACCTTCCAGTAAGTATTAAGCTCAGACTGAAGTTCCACCTTCAGCCTAATAGATGTCCTCAAGTCAGAAGTGAATCTATCTACCATTCAGTGGAAGTGCTGATAAAACCACTGAATTAGGTGCAGCATCTTCCCTTAGACCCTATTCAACGTTTAATTAATGGTGCAGAAGCTGCAGTAGCTGTAGCAGTTGCACTTCTTCCAAAGCTGACAATGCATCTAAGATGTCTGTGCCTGTGGAACAGAGTGCCACACGTCCTCATCAGTATTACACTCACTGCAGGGTAGTGCAGCTGCTGTACTGGTGGGACAGCCACGAGGGACCAGACAGGAGATGTTATCCGAGGATGTGGCTTCTTATGCAGTGGCTTCCTACACCCAGTCAGTCACTAGCACAGCGACAATTCCACGTGCCATCACAGTTCAGGTCACCACAATCCCAAAGCAAGGGCTATAGTCACACGTGCTGCGGTCAGGATGTCTCCAGACCCAGACCAGCCCTGGTTGGCACCTATACATATCCCATGTCTTTGCAGAGCACTGGCACCTTCTCATGTTCCTTAAATAACATGATAGCACATGTACCAATAACACAGACCCTGTCTCTCTCACACAATCTCAGTGTCAAAAACTATAACCAGCAGAACCAAAGTTAGCTGAGCTTTTGTGATATTGCCCAAGGGTGATATGAGTCACCCATTTCTCTCCCCGTTCCAACAGACAACTCTTTCACGCTTCCTTCCCATGCCAGCCCCATCTCAGCACTCCTTCTCCATCCTCCCCAGTCCAAGAAGGCTCCACAGGGCAGTAAAGACAAAGTGTTTTCATATTTACTTATTACCAGTGCATCCCAAAATTTGCTCTTACCCGACACATCGCAAGCTCATTTTGTGCAAAAAATGACATCTCTGATTCCTTTTGACATATCAAAGTGGATCTTTCACCTTGGACACTGGACGCCAGTGACAGCGCGTCCACAGCAATTTGTCCTCTATTTACCATTGGGAAAGGCAAAAGCACTAGGTCAGAACCAGACCTGCTTGTGTGGCTGTGCAACAGAGTGCACACCTTGCAGAAACATCCAGATGAATTTTGGATTACTACCTTGGGTGCTGGAAGCATTTTAGCTTTATTAGAAAAGCGCTCTGGCTGAGCCAATTAGCCCTAATTACAGGAGCAGTTATATTAAACTAGGGAGAGTTGTATCCTTACACAGTTATATTGCTTCGTTGTTTATCTCCAGTATATCTGCATGAACTTCACTGTGCCTTTTTAATGAGAAAATACGGGTTAGAAAAGTGACCAGTGATTTTTTCCAGGGTAAAAATAAGAACAAAAAAGGATAAATACATTTCCCAAAATGAGTATGAGGTTGCCAATAATCCTTTTTCTTAGCCAAGTGGCTTAGAAGGCGAGAACAATGTATAAATGCTTGAAAATCCTCTAAACATCTTTCCACTTAGTTTCTTCCAAAGCAGCATTAGGGAAAAAAAAATATCTAATTTAAGAATAAGAAAGAAAAGTAATGAAAAATATTTTTTTTACAAATTTGCTGAAGATATTTCAATATGTTTAAAGCCCCCACTAGATACGTAGGATAGCACAGAGCCGGTGAAAACGCACAGACATCACTTGAATGCACTACCAGCAACAGCTCACTCTTCCTTGCAACGTCACCAAGGAATAGGAGTTATTTTTGTTCTCCTAACGGTGAGTGGGAAATTACAGCAGAGAAGTTTTGTGATTTAGCCAGGCTCTGGGGAAGGGGGTGGGACACATCCAGCTCAGAAATCCCGGTGTGGTGGTTCGCAGTCCTGTGTCCTGCCATCCCTTGCCCCAGGCACTAAAAGCCCAGTATAAATAGAGCTCCCCAGTGAGCGGTTCACCAGTGGAGCCCGGAGAGGAGGAGGCTGTCACAAACTAACCTAACAACTGTGCTGCCGCTGGGAAGCAGGAGAGCTGCCTCTCTGGAGATGCAAAGCCCTTGTTAGAGGGAAACCTGCAGGTCACCACTGCACTTGGGAATCCTCCTCCGCTATGTGTCAGGCTCTGTCTCCTGTGTGCCCCTTCCCAGGAGGGGGAAGAGCTGGGGGGGGACCAAACCGAAGGGCAGCAGCACTTTCCCTGGCCAGGAGGGCAGCCTGGTGTGCATAATTCCATGTGGATTTAACGTGAGATGCCACTGGACGTGCAGTGACCCAGAGCCCCAAACTGGGGCATGTGTGTGTAGCAAAGGGGGGGACACACTGGAGGGCCACAGGGGGAAAGGGAGGCAGGAGGCACCCACCAGCAGGAGAGCAAAGCAAGAGCAAGCACCACCCAAGAAAAGGCAACCAGCACCTGTAGCACCCCCAAAGCATGGATCTTCTGAAGCATCCCTGAGGGGGCTGAGGGTCCCGTGGGCCCATGCACACCACTGTGGGAGTGTCCCCAGAGGTGTGAGGGCTCTGGCCACATGGTGGAACAGCACTGGGGGGGGCATGGTGGGGTGATAACACCACCATAGCTGTAGGAAAGCAGGGTCTTGGAGACCCAGGCACTGGCACGCACCACGGCTTACTCACCTCACTCCATGTCTGCGCTCTTGGCTACCTGGACTCATATCAGGGTGTTCATTGATACTGAGGGGTTCCTTGTAAATAGAGCTCAGGTGCCGCTGGAGTTGGGATGTACAGCCTCTCCCCTCCTCCACGGGTCTGAGGAGCAAGGTGAGGGCCATGCACGGCGCTGGGGGGCTTGGGGCTCTCTCAGGGCTGGGGAAAGCAAGCGAGGGGGCTTCGTCCCCCTGCGCACCCTAATCCCGCAAAGCACTGACCTCCGCTGGAGGTGCAGGTTTCCAGGATCATTCCTCCCGCAATGGCCGGGCTGGGTTGTGAGGGGAGATGGGGGGGTTCCCAGCCGGCGTTTTGGGAGGCGGCCGGCAGCCCTAGCCTTCCCCCGGCCCCGCTTTCCTCACACCAGAGTGCCCCCATCTTTCGCCTTCCCAGCCCCCTCAGGGACGCTGCCCGGGCGCCACAGAGCGGCTGCAGCCTGAGGGACCCCCCCAGAGCGGGAACCCGCTTGTGCCGTGGGCGGCGTGGGGCGGAAAAAGCGACACCCCCCGCCCCCCCGGTCCCCTCCGGTTTCCCCGCCCGGGGTGCCGCGGGGCCGGCCGGTGGGCTGAGGGGGCAGCGGGGCGGGGGGGGGCGGTGTGTGGGGTGTGTGTGGGGTGGTCGAGCGGCCGTGGGTGCGCTCCCCGTCCCCACCACCCACCGGGAAACCGGGAAGTTGAGCCGGCGTGAGGCAGGATCGCGGTTGGAGGTGGGGGGGGGAGTTGGGGAGGAGGAACCCCGAGTTTGCGGCGCCGCTGCCGTCCCCGCACAGCGCCGGTGCGCGGGGGCAGGAGCCAGAGACGAGCGAGCGAGCGAACGGC